AGGATTGCAGATCATCTATATATATATATATATATATATATATGTGCATAAGGAAGAATGTTAAACATATAGTGGAGGCCATAAAATCTAGTGAATAATGTTGATAGACAAGATAGACTGGCATGATATATTTGATGAGAAGAAGATAAAGTTGATCTGGGAATTCGTTAGTCACATGAAAACATGCTAAGCAGATAGGCTAAAAATCAGTTCTAAAGCTGATTCACACATGAGTGCCAAGGAAACTAGATTATAGAATAACAAGGGATATATAAGATTGGCTCAAGTCATTGAGAAAAAACCTGGAAGGAACATTAAAGCGGAATTTTCACCGGGCCTAAAAATATCGCAAATAAGGGAGTCGATAATGAAATTTAATTATCGAAATAAGAAAAAAATTTGAGAGCATCAGAACAATCAGCATTGCCATTTAAAAGTCGATATTTCACCAATGCCTTCTTGGAGAATGTCTATTTTTATCGGAAACTCTATTACATTTGTCCTGGCTGCGAAATAAGGATGACATCCCAAAATAAATTATAGACAAACAGTTAAGAAGGGAAGATTAGTCTGCGAGGAGGGTTAATGCCTTTGCGACGCCGCGGTCCTATAGTGTAGGAATTGGAGGGGGGTTCATGTCGAGAACCAGAAGACATTGGGATAAGGGTCTTTGTATCATCAGGCAAAGAAGAATCCAAGGGTTCATTGGGTGAAGGCTGAAGCTGAATATTTGTTTTGCTGATATCTACAGCCACGATATTCTGGAGATGCAATGGTGAGGGGTGTGAAGTAGAAGATGCGCTGCGCCGCTGCTTTTTAAAGTGGTACGAGTGGCTTTTGTGATGGGTATCTTGAAAATAAGAAGATCCATTGGAAAGCAGCCCTGAAGGAATAGAGAAGGTAGTATTCTTCGGTGCTTCCGGATCAGAGGGAAAAGAGCTAGACCCTTTGGTGCTCGATTCATTAGATTTGGCAATGGTGTGCATATCACATTCTGTGGTGATCGAAGAGGAATTCTGTCGCATGTGATGATAGTGATTCATAGTTGAATGGTTACGATTGCGCATTCGATAGTTGTGGAACCAATTAGAAACCTACGATAAGAAAGAAGATAAACGAGAACAAGAACAGTTAAGTAAGGATTGTTAAGACTTGTAATGGTAATAATAAAAATATAATAATTATTTTATGGTGGATTATTATAGATGTTTGTGAAGTCTTAGCAATTAATAGAAATAGCAGAAAAATAAACTGACTATTTTTGAAAATTTTATTTTGTTGGAACAGTGTTGTGGATACATTCATTTGGTATTAAAGGGTATGGCGATAAGATTCGTAGGTCAAACTCACCAGAGGACGACAGCTGAGTTAACTGAGGACGTTTGAAGTTAAAACTATGTTCAAAGCGACGCACTCCAAGGAACATCCACCCTCGTTTCATGCGAAAGAGGGCAACGATTTCGTTCGTCATATAACGAACAGCATCATAACTGGAACTCACTCGTGTAAAAGTCTCAAGTTAACACTAAATCAAAATATATTCATCGTGCACTTTCATACAGTATGCAACAATGTTAAGGGGATCATCCCAACCCCTTTTTTTTAAGATAAAAATAAGAGCATCAAAGACATGATCAGTATGAACATCCCAATAAAATCAGACTAAGAATGATTTGCCTTGGTAGATTAAGGAAATCGGCAAATTCGTATCCAAGAATGTCAAACGAATTTAGTCAGTTTAATAATGAATAGCAAACCTTAACATTCTGGAGAAATAACTATGGAATGTTTTGGATAAAAGCTAGATTACCTAAAATCTGGATTAGTAAAAATTTGCAGTATAAAAAAATCATGACTTATTTTAGACAGTTTTACATCGCACACCAACTCTAATAGGATATTCGAAGGTATGAAGACCAGAATGGTGATGCTCTCTGTATGGTTGCGGTCTCATTTCGTTATATAGAAGTTGTTTGACCTTGGTTTCGCAACTTGATCAAATTAGAAGGAAGACCTAGAGCAACACACTTTGTCCGAATTCCATAGTATGCATGATCATTTCCAGAGTCGGACCGTGGATTCAGTACGTTCCCGGCATCATCAATCAGTTTTGCCATTCTCAGCAAACAAAGGTACAACTCGTCAAAGAGACAAGTGAAGTCAATCCCTTGATCAACTTTCTATCGAGACGGTTATGCGATTTGTCCTGATCCCTCTAACCATTTCCTACCCTTATTCTAGCCCTCATCCTATCACAACTTCGGACACCTTTATAATCTTCAAGACATGTGCCTTTTTGGCAATTAACCGTGGCGTCATTACACCTTCTGTTTGCCTTGCTCCTCTCCCTTTCGAGTGGCTGATCCTTATCTAGTCTCCTATCCGGATCTGTCTCATGGGCCCGTGGGTCCATTTCTTATCTTTCTGGTTGACAGATTTCATTCAGTTAAAGCCCCAGGGTACTTATACTCCAAATGCTCTTTCTCGAGCCTCTGGTAGCACGTACAAAGTCTCCTTATCTTCAGAGCGCATAGGCTTTGATTCCTATGCCTGAGGATATTATGCATTACCTCCACGCATCATCTCCTGGATTGAGCCCGTGTACCCTGAGCAAACTGTGAACTTGCAGCTCTGGTAGGCTGTTGCATCTCAAGTGGACTATTAGCCCATTTGGTCTTAATACCCAATTCCTATGACCCAATCCCTCTCCCCAGTCACGTGAAACGTCGGACCCCCCGTTCTAGTTGTTTGTTCGAGC